ATTCCATCATTAGCAATTGTGTCAATGGGACTAGCAAGAATGGGGGAAGATCGCTGGCTGGATTGTGTTGATTCTAACCCATATAGACGCAGTGGGTCTGGCCTCTGCATAAATGTTCTGGACTTGGACTAATTTTAGTGACCATTGTAGACTCATTCTAGCATTCTTTTAGTTTGCAAGCTTACACCAGTTTAAACATGTTTAAGATAAAATACTCCAATCCAATTGGAATGAGCAAGCCTGTTTGAAGCCCGCTTTTTGTGTCAATCTGTCATTTATAATAAAGCAACAACTTTCTTCCCTGGTGAAAAGAAAAAAAATGAACTCCTGTGTCTATTTGCCATAGAAATGTGGGTTTCCTTTTGCTTTCCCCCTTCTGAGCCAGTGGTTCAAGCCTTKAATGGTAAKTACCCCRTTAAGATGATTTATTCAGTGACAGTTGTAATTAAAACCTTATTCTCATTATCATTTTTTACTTCAAGGGGAGTGAAATTGCCCACATAAAGCAGCTGGCTTAAACTATGGACAAGAGGGAAGGAGAGGGAAGGAGGGGGGGGGGGTAGAGGGGAAACAAGTTAGTCCATAGGATGTTGTTCTATGTCAATTTTTTTTTCACAGTACTGAATCTGACTTTTCTATTTGAAACTCTCCATGGACAATAACCAAAAATGGATAAGAAGTCAAAATGTRGAACTGAAATGCCAATACAGCAAGCTAGTCATGCTGAAATATTTCAGATTTCCAACTTCTACATTTTTAAGCATGTAATCACATAGAAAGTTTGGACTCTTTCATCTTCAGGTCTTTTTCTTACTTTCTTCTTTATGAAAATAACTTTTTAAAATAGTGGTATAAAAACTAAATTTTTAAAAGAAATAAAAAAGCAAAAGGAAACTCACATTTTTTGATAAATAGACACAGGAATTCACTTTTTTAAGGCTTTGTACTTTTTAAATATTCTTATATTGTATGCTAATGTTTTTAACAGTATTTTATGATTGTTTTACTTGTTATAATTGTTGATGCATCAAATTGTTGCCAATTGTGAACCACTCCAAGTTGCCTCTGGGCTGAGAGAGGCGGTATATCAATGTGGTAAATAAATAAATAAATATGGAGTCTACTATGCATCTTTTAGCCTTGGCAAGTTATGACTGGATGCACAGAATAATGTGGATCTCTCCCTCTATAGAGCCATGCATTGACTGGCACAGAAAGCTCTGCAATAGTACCTACTACCCTGCCATTGGTTGTCCATGGGTCTGGAAAAGTTTCTGATTATAAACTTTTGAGAGATTGTGGTAGAGGGAGCAATATCAGTGTATATCAGTAGAGATTTGGCCCAAAGCTCACATGTTCATTGACATAATTCTGGAACTGGATTACTCTGGAGCTGATACACTAATTTCCCCACATTTACTTGCCCAATAACGTGATTTAGGAAGGGTGTGAGCAATTCCAATTTGACAACAGTACATAATATGAAGACACTGATAAGTGCTTTCTTAGGTGTAACACCATGGCTGTGCAATGCCTACTCTTTGAAGTCCCAAATAGTGCTGACATTACTTTTATTTCTGCTGATCTAGGCTTGCTTATTGCTCTTGCAGTTTGCTTTTGTTTTTCCAGTTTAAATAGTTAAACTGTTTTAAACTGCTAAAATCTTTAATTTGTTACAGTGTCTGAATTATGTTAGTTTCTTTCAAAGAGATTTTATTTAATTTACTGTCTTGACATCTGTTGATAAAGGGCATGCTAGAAATTCTCTAATAAATAAATACTTATATGAATACTTTCTACTTTGGCTCCCTTCCTCTGCAGACTCCTCTCCTCTCCATGGAATATCTCTATTAGTCTAAGGAGAAGACGTTGAGGCATTATGCTCCCAGTGTTATCTTTCTCCTTCTCCTTTGCTATCGGTTGATCCAGAGCCTCCAGAGGTTTTTTTTATCTTTCATTTATATTTTGTAGCTATCTCTAAAAAAAAATAAATGTCACGAGTGCACTGTCTCTGGCTTGTTATTTGTACATACTTTTACAATTGTAGAAAGTGTCTTTAAGAAGAAAATAATAGGATACAATATTCATTCTTATGTTCTCTGCATTAACTGCACCTACCTTGTACAGATGGTGTAACCGTTGGCCAACTGTACCATCTTAGTGCATACTTAAGCAACATGCTTGCATTTGGTACAGGTTTCATCATCAAATCATTTCCTACATAGTATGAGAGCTGTAAGAAGCATGCTGCCCACCTTCCAAAAACAAAAACAGTTGAAGTGGCAGTTGCAAGCGATTTTCTAAATAGAGTGGGCCCTTCGTATCCACTGGGTTGGTCCCAGGACCCCACATGGATACTAAAATCAAGTCTCATTTATATACAATGGTGTAGTAAAATGATTTCCCGTATATAAAATGGCAAAATAAAAAAGTGGAGGAATATTTTTAAGCTATGTATAGTTCAATCTGTAAGTGCAGAATGCATGGATACAGAGGGCTGACTGCAATACATGAAAACTACATGGCCCTTTAGATAGACTGTAAAGGTAAAGGTTTCCTATCGACACTAAGTCTAGTCAAGTCTGACTCTAGGGGGTGGTGCTCATCTCCATTTCTAAGACAAAGAACTGGCATTGTCAGCACCATAGACATCTTCTGGGTCATGTGATTGGCATGACTGCATGGAGTGCCGTTACCTTCCCTCCAGAGCAGTACCTATCAATCTACTCACATTTGCATGTTTTCAAACTGCTAGGTTGGCAGAAGCTGGGGCTAATGACAGGAGCTCATCATATACTCTATGAATTCGAATCACAAACCTTTTTGTCAGCAAGTTCCGCAGCTCAGTGGTTTAACCCACTGCACCATTGTGGCCCCCTTTAGTAGAATGTGCCCACCAGAATCCCTCTCTATTAGCTAGGGAAGATGGAAATTGCAGTCCACGAACTTTAGAAAGGTTGTTTGCACCCCCAGTCTAAATGGTTACTGCTTCACACTTAAGAGTTTCTATGCAACTCCGTTCCAGACTTATCATGCTTTTATTCACCTGCATCAGATTTTCTATTGTCCCTCCTGCTCCTGGAATATGAAGGCAAGTGTTGAGCTCCTTATCTATCAATCTCTATGAATGTCAAGACACTTCCCAGTATCTTCCAGCTCATTTATGACCTGTTTTGGCCATGCCAGAGAATTTATAGTGGAGATAATGGCAGCTGGGGCGAGCGGAGACCCACCTTGGATAGCTCTGGAGGACTACATCAAAAGAGAGAAAAGAGGCCCAGGCCCAGTAAAGTCACTAGGAGCATGCCAGAGTGCCAACTATATCAGGTAACACCACTGGAGGGAGTGACACAAAATTTTAACTGGTTAACCAAATGCAAAGTATATGAGACGCAAAAAATTAAGAGTCCCTCCAGAACTGCAAACACTATCACAAGCAAATATTGACAATTTATTCACACTCTCATTACTTGCAGCAATAGCCGATGTAATGAAGCAAGTGGGGGGGGGGGGGTGTTGAATGCTCTCATTAAGGAGGCCAGACTTGTGGAGGTGGTTGACAGGGGCGGAGCTGCAGGCTATTGAAGGCTGCTCTGCCCCCCTGCAGCTGTGCTCTTTGCTTCAGCGTGAGCTAGGAGGCAACCCCCCCCAGGTTTCAACCCACCCCACCCCCCAAATGTTCAAACCCCCCCTGAAATTTTCAACCCCACCCCCCAAATTTTCAACCGTCCCCAAATTTTTTTTCTGGCTACAGCCCTGTTCTGGATAGCAATCATAATGGGCCGGGGGGAGGGGATCACCTATGATGATGATTATGTTGTGTTTGGGCAAATGTTCCAAGATTTTGGGAACAAGACTTTGGAACATTTGCCTATTCTTGATGTGACATCTTGGGAGATTTGTTGATGTTCCAGATCCATGTTACACTCAATCTTTTGGAATAATGGTGTGCTTGAAAACAAAGTTTGCATAGCATGGATTCAAACAGCCGAACTTTCAGTCAGCAAATTCAGCAGCTCAGCAGTTTAACCCACTGTGCCACCAGAATTTAAAAACTCTAAAAATCAGGACAGTAAATATAAAGCAACACTCAAAAAGCAGAGGAATTCCAGACAAAAATCAATCAGCGCCAGCTAACACCTCCCAACAAAGGATTTCCACAGGCAGGAAGCAGCCAGGCATTGAAGTTTCAAGGACATTCAATGCTAATCAAGGTGGCTAATTGCACACTTGAATCAAGCAGACAAGTGTTCTTTCTCCCACCCTGAACATTCCACAGATAGATGATAGATGACACACACATACACCACTTGTGGTATTTCCAATAGACCTCAGAACAAATTTCTGAGGATGCTTGCCACACATACAGGCAAAACGTCAGGAGAGAATGCTGCTGCTACATGACCATACAGCCCGAAAAGCTCAGAGCAACCCAATCAGGATATAGATGGAAAGTCTGTCATAGCCACAGCTACATTCAGATTAGTCAAGGCAGCATATGCTAATAAGTTCAGGTCTCCAAAAATCTGGGTTGTCAGGCAGCAATCAGCCAGGCTTTGAATCTACAAGGCCATTCAATGCTAATCAAGGTGGCCAATTGCAACATTCACACTAGCCTCAGGCAGACAAGAGTTCTTTCTCCCACCCTTGACATTATTCCACGGATATATAAACCTAGCTTGCCCAGTTTCCAAAGGAACCCCTCAACCTCTGAGGATGCTTGCCATAGATGTGGGTGAAACGTCAGGAGAGAGTGCTTCTGGAACATGGCCATACAAATCGGAAAACTCGCAGCCCCCCAAACCTAGAGGTGTTTGTGGACAACTTGAAATTTCGGCGCATTTCCAGAGACTGGCGAGGCGTGGAAGGGCTCCCCATCCGGTTGGTTGGGGCGGTCGCTGCGGCTCTTCCTCCTCCCCTCCCTCCTTCCCTGGCCCCGCCCTCTCAAAGCCTCTTGCCGCAGCTGCGGGAGCCCCAGCCCCGCCCCCGCCTCCTCCTCCTCCCCGCGTGCCACCGGCTGGCTGGCTGGCTTTCTAGCTGGCGAGAGAGCGATCCGGCGCTCACCCGGCAAAACCCATTGTCTGCCAGCCAGGCGCCGGCGGGAAAGGCGCGCGCAACAGACAGCGCGAGAGCAAGAGAGAGAGAGAGAGCGAAAGAGAAGCGGGCGAGAGAGGAGCGGAGGCGCAGCGCTTCTCTCCAGAGGCAGGCGGGCAGGACACCCAGGCCAGGCGCGATGCAGGGCGCCGGCACTTGTTTTGCCAGACTGAGGCCAGCGCCGGCCCGGAGCAGCTGCTGAGAGGAAAGGAAAGGGAGCAAGACGCAGCGAGAAGGAGGAGGAGGAGGAGGGCGGCCTCGGCGGCGACTCCCAACTTCGCCCTTTGGCCTGCCAGGGCGAGCCTCTTCCCGCATGGAGACGCTGAGCGCGGTGAGGGCCAAAGTGGGGGCCAGGAGCCCCGGCGGCTGCGAGGCGGTGGGCAGCGGCGGAGAGCCCCAAGCCTTGCCCCAAGCCGGACCTACGCCGCCGCCGCCGCCGCCCCCGGAGCCCGCCGCCGGGTATCGCCTCGAGGACCTGGAGACCTTGGCCACTGTGGGTGAGTCAGGGAGGGAAAGAAAGAGGGCCCACAAGGTAACAAAGGGAGCGCGAGGGGAGACGAGTCCGCCCCCTCCCCCTCCCCTCCAGGGACCACCCACCGGGCTAGAGAGAGAGAGAGAGAAGGGGCTTTTCTCCCTTCCCTTCCCAGCAGCGACAGGGTCACCGGCATCGCCTGCCAACCTCCCTCCCTCCCTCGTCCAGGTCGGGGAAACCCTGGCTTGTAGCGCCGAGGGAGCCCAAAGAGCTGCCTTCCTCCAGGACAGGGGTTCTCGACCTTCCTCATGCCGCCACCCCTCATGTTGGGGAGACCCCTCAACCATAACATTATATTCCTTGTTACTTCTCAACTGTCATCTCGCTCCTGTTATGAATCCTCATGTAAATATTTGAGATGCAGGATGTATTTTCATTCACTGGACCAAATTTGGTACAAATACCCCATACGCCCGAATTTGAATACTGGTGAGGTTGGGAGGAAGGTTGATTTGGGAGTTGTAGTTGCTGGGATTTATAGTTCACCTACAATCAAAGAGCATTCTGAACTCCACCAATGATGGAATTGAACCAAACTTGGCACACAGAACTCCCATGACCAACAGAAAATACTGGAAGGGTTTGTTGGGCATTGACCTTGAGTTTGGGAGTTGTAGTTCATCTACATCCAGAGAGCACTGTGGACTCAGTGATGGATCTGGACCAAACTTGGCATGAATACTCAGTATGCCCAAATGTGGAGTTTGGGGAAAATAGACCTTGACATTTGGGAGTTGTAGTTGCTGATTTATAGTTCACCTACAATCAAAGAGCATTCTGAACCCCACCATGATAGAATTGGGCCAAACTTCCCACAGAAACCCTGACCAACAAAAAGCACTGTTTCCTGGTGGTCTTTGGTGACCCCTCTGACACCCCCTTGCACCCCCCCCCCCCCCCCCCCGCCGGGGTCCCAACCCTCAAGTTGATGGGGCTAGCTGCTCTCTTGGGACAAGCCCTGCAGGCATTCATGTCACTTCACACAAACAGGGCAACCTGGGACTCCTTGATCAAATTTAACCCCTCCCACACACACACACAAACGCCTCCCTCAGGGCAGAATAATAAGAAAAAAATAATCATAATAATTGATTAGAAGCAACTGGAAAAGCTGACGGTATGAGGATTTAAAGATGAAACTGCAAAGACTGGCACAGACCAGTAAAGGTGGTCCCAGTGGTCATCAGCACACTGGGTGCCGTGCCTAAAGACCTTGGCCTGCACTTAAACACAATTGGTGCTGACAAAATTACCACCTGTCAGCTGGAAAAGGCCACCCTACTCAGATCTGCGCACATGATTCGCCGATACATCTCTCAGTCCCAATCACTTGGGAAGTATCCAACGTGTGATCAAATATAAAAGCCAGCATAGTGATCTTGTTTGCTGTGTACAAATCTATGTATCAAATAATAGTAGTATTGGTACTCTGCTAATGGCTCCCAGGGGGTCAAAACATATCCACATCAAATACACCCCCACAAAATAAATATATCAAAACACTGAGTGCAGTGGTCAACATGCAGCAGTAAAGGTAAAGGTTTCTGCTTGACATTAAGTCTAGTCATGTCCGTCTCTGGGGGGTGGTGCTCATCTCCATTTCTAGGCCAAAGATCCCGTGTTGTCCATAGATGTTTCCAAGATCATGTGGCTGGCATGACTGCATGGAGTGCCGTTACCTTCCCGCAAAAGCGGTACCTCTTGATCTATGCACATTTGCATGTTTTTGAACTGCTAAGTTGGCAGGAGCTGGGGCTAACACCGGGAGCTCGGCCCACTCCCTGGATTCGAACTGCCCACCTTTCAGTCAGCAAGTTCAGCAGTTCAGTGGCTTAACCTGCTGCACCACTGGGGGCACTCAGTAAAATAGGAGGCAAATCCAAACTCATGGATCCAAAGTTGGCTGGACAGTCTTTCCTGCCAGAAGAGATGGGTCTTCAGTTAGCTCTTACATTCTGACATCTCATGATCTATTGGTTCTCTTCTGGCAGGTCATTCCACCTTGTTTTGTATTTCCTCTCCACCTTGTTTTAGGAGGCACAGCACAGGTTGAGTCTGCCTTATCTGGAATTCTGAAAAATGTCCACACCAATGGGAGATCGTGATGCCTTTGCTTCCTGATGGGTCCAGTGTGCACAAACTTTTCTCCATGCACCAATTTGGTGGAATATTGTGTATACAGTGATTGTCAGGCTATGTGTGTAGCTTTTTTATCATGTCAGAAGCCACTTAGGAAACTGAAAGTCACTTCTGGTGTGAGAGAATCGGCCATCTGCAGAGAAGTTGCCCAAAGGATGCCCAGATTTTTTAACATCCTGTGGGAGGCTTCTCTCGTGTCCCCACATGGGAGTTGGGACTGACAGACAGGAACTCACCCCGTCTTGCAGATTCGAACCACCAATCTTCAGCTGAAACATTAGTGAATTTCATGCTCAGATTTTGTCCCATCCTTGTATATGCAAGTAGGCCAAAATCTGAAATATGGAAGACTTCTAGTCCCAAGCATTTTGGATAAGGGATTCTCAACCTGCCTTGTACACTCTGCCAACAGAGCCAGGGTTTTTTACAAATGTCAGCAAAACAACTGGCAGGTGTCTGCTGTGGCTTCACAATCCACCCAACCCAAGATGTTAAAGTCTGATAAGCTTTCTCTCACTGTTTTTTTTTTTTACTTTTGCTGTTGTTTGGTGAAAAACCCATCTGGTTTTGTAAACACTGTGAGGTACTGTTTATTCAGGAATACTTTGAGTTTGTGGCCCACCGACTCTTTAAATGGGAATATTTGCATTCAAATTGGTTAGAGTCCTGGTGTGCAACCGTATTTGAATGAGAAATTTGCTGTGTAAGTTGTGCATGCATCATAGCTTTTTATTCCAGAGAATGATCCTTGTTTTCCTGAGTGGTTGATGTGAAGTAGTTATGTTTAATTGTGTAATGTGCTCATAGCATTTCAGGTTTATGAGGAGTATTCACTAAACCTATGTGCTCTTCTTACCAGTTCCACCTAGGCTCTTGTTAATATTAAATATGGTCATGAACAGTGGAATTGTTCTATAGTTCAGGTATTCAGGTTTTATTAATCTTAAGCATTTTAGAATTACTCACATGATCAGCTAGAATGTGTGTATTGTTTTCCAAATGTAAGTAATTTGTGGCATTTCACATGTGTCCAGGGATAGGTGAGTCCTTGTGAAGGCATAGTATTCTTTCCTTGTTATTCCCTCTTCAAGGAATATTTGCTCAGATCTGCATATGTGATTGTTTTGACAGCCCTTGGCTACAGTGCCAGAGGAAGGAGAAGATACACACAGAGATACAGACAGGGAACCATATGATACATGAGAAAACGTGAGAAGAAGCGGTTTATGGGGGAGGGCATGTCATGAAAACAATCATCACATTTTAATTAAACACACAATCCTTTTTGGGTATTATTTTATGTAGGAATGAGTGCAGAAGTGGAGGTTAAGCATGGCTCTTGTGTCTATGGAAAAAGACCATAGGCTCTTTTCAGACATTGAAATGAATAGACAGTTAGGGAAGAGCCTCATGTCAGACAGGCTGCCATATTACGTATCGTTTGAAAAAGGGTATAGCAACTTTATATATTCACAAATAGGGATGAATGAGTTACTGTGGTCTGTATCAGTTTCATAAGTACTGAGTCATCGATTTGGTCTGGTTTTCACATCAGTTTGCGAACTTGAAAATATGCAAGAAAATGTGACAGTTTTCCATAATATGCAGTTTTTGGAATGGAGAACTTTTTGCAAAACACGAAGTTGTGCAGCCTAAGAATAACGTGTGTTCTGAGGCAGGTATTAGGCCAGGAAGTGTATAATGAAATGGGTTGCTCAACCCAAATGAAATTCTAGCCTCTTCCTAGCCAAACGCAACAATGAATTCCATGTAGGCAATTAAGCGGTATTGTGGAGATGCATATTTCCATCCATTCTTTATTAATCCATTCCATGGAAGGAATGCTCAGGCTGATTGGTTAAGAAACTCATGTGTTTCTAGACAGGGTTGAAGACTTTAATTCCTGTGCAACCTGCATACATTACTATTTCATGTCTGTATATATTCAAAATTGTGTCTCTGATAAGATAACTTCTAATTTGAATTAGTTTATCTTCATATATGACCATTGTGGTGAGCTTTTCACTTACATTTCTTCTGGTTTGTATGGGATTTGAAGTAAATTGAAGTCTAAATACTATATATTTGTTTGAATGTTGGACTAAGACTCCGAGAATAACGGTTTAAATTCCTGCTTGGTCTTGGAAATCTACTGTTTTTTTGTTTTTGTTTTTGTTTTTGTCGTGTCAGGAGTGACTCCTGGTGTGAGAGAATTGGCCGTCTGCAAGGACGTTGCCCAGGGGATGCCTGGATGATTTGATGTTTTTATCATCCTTGTGGGAGGCTTCTCTCATGTCCCCGCATGAGGAGCTGGAGCTGATAGAGGGAGTTCATCCACCTCTCCCCGGATTCGAACCTGCGACCTGTCGGTCTTCAGTCCTGCCAGCACAGGAGTTTAACCCTCTGTGCCGTCTACTGGGTGACCTTGAACAAGTCACACACTCTCAACTTTAGAGGAAAACAGTAATACACTCCCTCTGAACACATCTTGTGGGGGGGGGAGGGGAATCCCATGATAAGTTTAATTTTCATTGTTGCTGTATGTGTATGACCTTAAGCTAGACAAACCTATCACGGGATTTTTTTCCTCACAAAATTTGGTCAGAGGAGGTTTGTGTGTGACTTGCCCAAGTTGACTCAGTGGGCTTCCATTAACAATTCATGATTTGAATCGTTGTTTCCCAGTGTCCTAGCCCAACACTCAGACCAATACACCACACTGGTCTTATGGTTATTTTTGGCCAGAAATGGCTTGAAGACACACAACAGCATTCAGAACCAAAAATATTATTGGTTACTACAAATTCTCTCACCACCAGTTGAAAA